CATCTAGTAGCCGTTGAACATCTGTATGGACTCTGATAAAACCACTTCCTCAGGCAGAGAATTCCACATCCTGATTGTTCTTACAGTAAAAAAACCTTTCCTTTGCCTTAGACGAAATCTTCTTTCTTCCAGTCTAAACGCATGGCCTCGTGTCCTATGTAAAGTCCGGTTTGTGAATAGATTTCCACACAATGGTTTGTATTGGCCCCGAATATATTTGTATAATGTTATCATATCCCCTCTCAGGCGACGTTTTTCTAAACTAAATAGGTTTAAATTTGTTAACCTTTCTTCATAGCCGATATGTTCCATTCCTTTTATTAATTTTGTAGCCCGCCTCTGCACTTTTTCTAGTGCCATAATATCCTTCTTTAGAACAGGTGCCCAAAATTGCAAAGCATATTCAATATGGGGTCTTATAAAGAGGCAAAATGATATTCTCGTGAATGAATTTTTCATGCATGACAATACCTTACTGGCCTTGGCCACTGCTGATTGACATTGCACATTGTTGCATAGTTTGTTGTCTATAACAATTCCCAAGTCCTTTTCGTGTGTTGTTATCCCTAATTCGCTTCCATTAAGAGTATACGTTGCTTGTGTATTCTTTACGCTGAAGTGCATAACTTTGCATTTTTCAACATTAAATTTCATCTGCCATTTGAGTGCCCAGTCCCCCAGTCTATCTAAATCCCTCTGCAGCAAAGTAATATCTTGCTCACATTGTATTATTTTACAGAGTTTTGTGTCATCTGCAAACACTGAAACATGACTGACTTTCAATGCTGTCTTCAAGATCATTTATAAACATGTTAAATAGAAGGGGTCCCAGAACAGACCCCTGAGGGACACCACTTGCCACCTCTGTCCAGCTTGAAAATTTACCATTAATGACAACTCTTTGTACTCTGTTTTTAAGCCAATGTTCTACCCAAGAACAAGCATTTTCATCTAGACCGATTTCCTTGAGTTTGAACATAAATTGTTAAAGAAATTATTTTCAACTGAAGTTGGAGAAAGGTGGTTTTCCCTGGATTATTTTTTTTAAAAAGCAAAAATGAGTTGTGGGTTGCTATTTGCATCAGATAGATAGCCACCTTTTTATACCATGCTTTGGTTTTTCGTAAAATAAGATATGGCTGCATCAGCCAAATCAACACCCCCCCATGTACTTATTATACGCCCTGATGCAAACCGGTTTGGACTCTACTCTGCCCCGGACAGAGACGTCTGACTTGCATTCGTCATGGATGGTGGTTAGCATGTTGACATCCTTCCTGTCCCTAAATTTTAGTGCAAGCACTTCGGCTTTACATTCGCCTTTTTTTTAATTTTCCATCTATGAGAGATCGTGGAAAGTCTTTGGAATTTTTTCTGGCAGTGCCGCAGGCCAGTGTCTGTAAAACATAAAGCGTTTTAAACAGACGGACACTACTATAAAAAATATCCACATAAAAGTGGTAACCTTAATTAAACAAGGGGTTTAGTAGGTCCCATACAAGTTTCCCACTTGTCCCCAGGGAGTCAGGACAGCCAGGAGGGTCCAGTTGACCATCTTTCCCCTCATATACACGAAAGGCAAACGTATATCCACTTTCGCTCTCGCACAGTTTGTACAGTTTTATGCCATACCTAGAACGCTTTGAGGGGATGTAATGTCTGAACCCTAATCTCCCTTTGTATTTCATTAGCGATTCATCTATGGATACATTTTGTTGGGGATATAAACATCCAAAAATTTGTCCTGAAAATGGTCTAGCAGTGGGCGTATTTTATGAAGCCTATCGTATTGGGGGTGATCTCTAGGGTGACAGAGGGCATTGTCACTGAAATGTAAAAATCTCAGCAGTAACTCGTATCTGGCTCTAGGCATGGTTTGGGAGAATACTAGACTAGACATTATTGGGCTGGTGCTCCAGTATGAGTGAATCGATGGCTTCTTTATAACCCCCATGAGCATTGTAATTTTTTAAGCTCTGGGACATCTGTGGGATGCCAGTCATGCTCCCTGACTGAATAGCTACCTGGATTGTTATCAATAAATTGGGTAGCATACAAGTTAGTCTGGGAAACAATCTCCTCCCAGATGGTAACCCCTAAAAATAGTTCTACATACTGCATTGAGGAGAAGCCATCCACATTAACATTAATGCCTGTGTTGGCACTAAAAGGGGGGACGTTGGGCTCGGCTAACTGTGGAGGTACCCAGTCCTCCTCCACATTCGGCGTAGCAGAGGAAGCACAGCTTCTTTCTTCAGCCGGCTCACACACAGATGACATGTCGTCTTGACTAGACGTGTCAGAAATCTGAACTGGGTCAAAATCTGACACAGTGTCAGTGGCGTCAGAGTCTGACGCCAAGAAGGCATATGCCTCCTGCAAGTTATACATACGCTGCATGTTTTACACACGACTTAAACAAATTACAAACACACCCATTTTTTTTTAATACTTTTTTTTTTTACTAAAACAGACTAAACAGCAATCCCTAAACTAACTCCTGTCACAAAAATCTAATGGAGATTTGGGGGAAGGAAACTGACTGACTAAGACAGACAAAGACAGACCAAGACAGAACAAGACAGACCAAAAACAGACCAAGGCACAGATTTGTAAAACAAATTTAACCCTTTAAGGGCAAAATAAATGAATACAGACAGTACAAATGCACTGCTGTGACAGATCTGGCAGGGAAGGGGTTAAAAGGTGATTTTTAAAATAAAATACTGACACTTTCTGATGGTCACTGTACACTGCTGCAACAAACTATCACGATCTCTGTCTCTCTCGCCTCACAAAACGCTACAGAGGAGAGAGACAGAGATCACTGTCAAAGTGAGTGTTTGTATCACCCACTTTGACAGCAGCCAATTGTGAGCGATCGCGGATCGCTCACACGCTGCAATTAGCTGTTACTATCTGCCTGGGATGTCTGGCAGATAGTTACAGTGTTATACCGGTTATGATCGCTTCCCGCAGCCCATTTTTCGCTATGACGGTTCAGGACCGTCAGCGGTCCAAACGCACGTTTTACCGCTGACGGTGTTGAACCGTCAGCGGTCCTGAAGGGGTTAAGCCTGGAGTTTAGTACAACAAGGTGGGGAGTTGACGGTATGGTATTAAGCCTGGATAGTGTGTTTAAGTACCATCATTGTTTGTCAATTTCTGTTTGGTTTTCTTTTTTTTAGTTTCCTGCTGTTTGACAAATCTTGATTTAGAGAATACTATCTGTTAAAATATATTCTATTTATATATTCTATCTATGCTAGTGATTATTTAACAGATTATAACAGATTTTGTGGATTTTATAGAATTTTAGTAAAATGATTATTTCTTAGCAGACATTGAAATTCTTGGGCAAACATTGGGCTGTACACCTCAATATATTTAGTAAATAGACTAAATAGTTATACTGAAATTTGGCAAAAATTTTGAATTTATTCCTAAACTTTGCAATTTAGTGGAGCATAATAAATAACAACCGTTGTTCTGTTCCATTATTCAGAGGCATGCATTTTGTAACATTTCACAGTGTTAAAACAAACCACCCGATGCTTTGCTATCTCTTAAGGCAATAAGAAGAACATGATTGGGGTTGTTTTCAGGGCTCGAGTCCTGCAGGAACGCATGGGAACGGCGTTCCTGCACTTTTTCCAAAGCAGGAACGCCGTTCCCGTTACCTGTCCTGCAGGACCGGCCCTGGTCCCTGCACTGAGGGGCCATCACACGCTGTGTTCATTCTCCAGTTATAAATCTCGCGAGACCCGCGGCTGTTACCATGGCAACGCTCCGCACAGGCGAGTCTCGCGAGAGTTAGAGCTGGAGAGGGAACACTGCGTGATGGCCCCTCCAGCATACCACCGGACCACCAGGCGATCTCCCCCCTCCCTGACAAGGTAAGAAGCAGGGAGGGGGGAATAAAATAAAAAAAAATATAAAGTTAAAAAAAATCCTCCCCCCCCCCACACACACATCATCCAGCACTCACACAAACACCCATCATCCAGCACTCACACAAACACCCATCATCCAGCACTCACACAAACACCCATCATCCAGCACTCACACACCCATCATCCAGCACTCACACACCCATCATCCAGCACTCACACACACATCATCCAGCACACACACACACATCATCCCACACAAACACCCATCATCCAGCACTCACACAAACACCCATCATCCAGCACTCACACAAACACCCATCATCCAGCACTCACACAAACACCCATCATCCAGCACTCACACAAACACCCATCATCCAGCACACACACAACACCATCCCACACACACACACCACACATCATCCAGCACTCCCACACCCATCATCCATCACACACACATCTTCCAGCACTCACACACACACACCCATCATCCAGCACACACACATCATCCAGCACTCACACACACACACACATCATCCAGCACACACACATCATCCAGCACTCACACACACACACCCACCATCCAGCACACAAACATCATCCAGCACTCACACACACCCATCATCCAGCACACACACACACACACCCATCATCCAGCACATCATTTTCATTTTCCACACACCCATCATCCAGCACTCACACACCCATCATCCAGCACTCACACATCATCCAGCACTCACACATCATCCAGCACACACACACACCCATCATCCAGCACACACACACACCCATCATCCAGCACACACACACCCCCATCATCCAGCACACACACACACACATCATCCAGCACACTCACACACATCATCCTGCACTCACACACACACCATCCTGCACTCACACACACACCATCCAGCACACACACACCCATCATCCAGCACACACACACCCATCATCCAGCACACACACACCCACCATCCAGCACACACACACACATCATCCAGCACTCACACACACATCATCCAGCACTCACCCATCATCCAGCACTCACACACACCCATCATCCAGCACCCACACACACATCATCCAGCACCCACACACACACATCATCCAGCACACACACACATCATCCAGCACACACACACACACACACACATCATCCAGCACACACACACACATCATCCAGCACACACACACACACATCACCCAGCACTCACACACACATCATCCAGCACACGCACACACACACACACACATCATCCAGCACACACATCATCCAGCACACACACACACATCATCCAGCACACACACACACACACACACACATCATCCAGCACTCGCACACACATCATCCAGCACACACACACACATCATCCAGCACTCACACACACGTCATCCAGCGCGCTCACGCACACACTGCATTCATTATACACACTCTTCACTCACTACAAACACACTACATTCACTATACACCCTCTGCATTCACTATACACTCTGCATTTATTATGCACATTCTGCACTCACTACACACTACATTCACTATACACACTCTGCATTCACTACAAACACACTACATTCTTATACACACTCTGCACTCACTACAAACACACTACATTTATTATTCATACTCTGCATTCACTACAAACACACTACATTCATTATACACACCCTGCACTGCACTATATGCATAGGAGTGTAATTTTTTTTTTAATGAGGGGAAGGGGGGGGGGCGGGAATCTTGGGTGAGTTCCCACACTTTTTTCCCCAGGACTTAACCCCTGGTTGTTTTATAAAATTGGGGTTTCTTTATGAAGATATTTGTTAGGTGAAATAAGCTTTCAAGAAAACATCCGTTTTAGTCAGTAACAAGAAAATGCAGATTTCACACACCAGAGGCAGAACAGAGTTAAATATTAAACCCCACTGTGTTCCTGCAGCACAAAGGAGATTAAACAGATCATGTTCTATTTAAAGCAAGAGAAAGAAATGAGAAATGGCACTGGCTTTTATTTTCTATACCTCTGTAAATTTACATTTATTACATAGTTACATAGTTACATAGCTGAAAAGAGACTTGCATATATCAAGTTCAGCCTTCATCACATTTGTTTTTTTGCTGTTGATCCAAAAGAAGGCAGAAAAAAACCCAGTTTGAAGCACCTCCAATTTTGCAACAAGCTAGGAAAAACTTCCTTCTTGACCCCAGAATGGCAGTCAGATTTATTCTTGGATCAAGCAGTTATTACCCTACATTGAAACATTATATCCTTGAATATCCTGTTTTTGCTGGTATGCATCTAGTAAATGTTTGAACATCTGTATGGACTCTAATAAAACTACTTCTTCAGACAGAGCATGCCACATCCTTATTGTTCTTACAGTAAAAAAAACCTTTCCTTTGCCTTAGACAAAATCTTCTTTCTTCCAGTTTAAACGCATGACCTTGTGTCCTATGTAGTCCGGTCCGGTTTGTGAATAGCTTTAAATATTAAACAAATATAAGGCAAATACATTTTTTGCATTTTTTATTCACAAAAATCTGCAATGTGATGGCCTTTGTAACATGGTTTGCATGTCACTATCCTTAGGGTACATTAATCTATGTAACGACTATCAAAGACATGAGTGACATCGCCGATGGGGGTCCGTTGACTGCTGGGGCAAGAAAAGGTGAGTACTACTTACCTGAAACTGTCCTCACGGGCTCCACCGTCTTCTTCAGTGTCAAGACCTGAAGTCACTGCTGTACTGTTGCGCATGCTCGAGAGTACAGCATTGAAGTCTATGGAGGATCCTGCAAGACCGCTGGATCCTCCTTAGACAGAGCCAATTCCCTAAAGCCATCATTAGTGATGGCTAGGAGGATTGACACTACTAGGCAGTGTGGCGGAACATATTGTTATTTTCGTGGATTTTATTTTATTATACGTTTGGGAGTTATGGTATCCGAACCCCATTAGAACGTTCACACTTCAGTGCGAAACCGCAAGGGACGTAATTAATTAATTCTTCCCCTGGGTGGCCACCGAATACATGGGGTCGGCAAAAGAATGGTGGCTATTTTGTCGTGGGCAGCGGTACATGGTCATTAAGTGCCTGGAACTCTTTACGGCTGGGCACTCACATGAACCTCAGTAAAGGTTTGTATGGGTCCTGACCAGCTATGCGAATGACGTTCCGGAGATGGGAACTACCAACTGTGGGAGCATTTGCCCCCTGTAATCAGGAGAATCCCTTGTATAGTTTTGGCACAGGAACCCCCGAACAGAGACCGCCCAGGGTACTTATTTCCCTGAAACTGTTTTGTGCTATCACCTCTTGTCCGGCTGGTCAAAACTTTACCCCGGTGGCGATCCAATTCTGCCAAATGGATCTGAGTGATACTTGGCCAAGTTGGACACTCAGATCAGAGCTATCAGGGGATATAAATCTTGTGGGGTTCTTGGTAATATTAGGGGTACTTTTGGGGGTTGAATATTTTGTGTATTTTTATATTCTCCTGTAACTGAGATAATTGAGTTAGTTTTCTCACTCAATTATCTCTCAGACGCAGAGGCTCTTGGGAGGAAAAACCCCTGTAATATTGTGCTGGGGACCCCATGCTAGGGGTCAGAACTATATCTCGTCTAGTTACTGGGCGATGGATGCTTGAGTATTTAACGATGAGTACTGGCTAAGAGGAGGAATTAGCGGAGGTAACCAGTCAGGTTACCCGGGGCCTGCTACAGGCGGCTTTTAGTGCCAGGAAAAAATACATAAGACAAAGTAGTCGTCATTTGTCTTTTGTTTTTAGTTAGAAAATAATGAAAATGAAAAAAAAAAGAAAGAGTGGGAAAGAGGAATAGAAGAGGAAGCGATTGGAAAAAGGTAAATACAGTGTGACAAAGCCACTTTAACCATTGAAAAATAAATTGCATTGTAATTATATATTAATAATGCAATAATAGGTTACCTTGACATTGTACATGATTGTAAACTACATACCCCATGATGCTTTGCCAGCCAGATATGTAGTGCTTTCTCAGCATTTCAAGCATTGAGATATGTATTTCAGAATCATGTGGCAAAGGTAGCCATCACTGTCATAAGGCATGTTGTTCCGAAATATGACTGCCTTTGACTAATTTGCTAGGTGAGGAGAAGTGCTCACTTACACAGAGTTAGACAGATTTGTGAACAATATTTGAGAGAAATAGGCCTTTTTGTGTACATCTTTGAGTTCAGCTCATGAAAAATGGGGGCAGAAACAAAAGCGTTGCGTTTATAATTTTGTTCAGTGTAAGTAAACTAATAAACTGGACGTACATTTTATAATTCCCTCATCATTTTACTGCAATTCATAGTTTAGTGGTACACCACTTAACAGTGTCTTTCCCTTATTTAACTGTATTTTCTATTATGAAAAACAATGTCAACGAGATTGTTACCTTCCCATCTAATTAGTAAAATTGTACATATTGATCATACATAAAATTTAAGATCATAATAGGAGAAATGTAAACATAACTGACTTTAAGATTCTTTCCAATTGGGATATTTTTTTCTTAAAATTTTAAACTCGCATATTAGTGAATAACCCCCTTCTGAGTTACTCCGTGGAACACCATACCAATGATCTGTCTTTTTTTTCTCATGCCTTCTCTACTACCTATAGAGTTTCAGGGCTAAAGTATTCCAGATCTGGAGCTTCAGTCTTCAAAAAAAACCTTAGCAGTGCCTATGATCAGGACAGATAAGCAAGTAATATAAAATAGTAAAATAAATAGTATCAGGGCTTAGGCAATCTTTTCCTTAAAAAGATTATGGGGAATAAAGCATAACTAGTCACATTACTGAATAGTGAGCGTCCCAGAGTTAGTAAAAATAGTGAAAAAGAATATATATCCCAAAAATTGCAGGGGGTATGGTGTAGAATGACAAACAGTTCTCAATCATTACTTTGTCGTTCTCATCTCCAGTTCAAGGGAAACTAAATAGCCACACAAAATAGTAGAGGTACTTTTTGCTAAGGACCACAAATAGGCATATGGTGCAGTACAGTCTGAGAGTTACATCAGGGTTACCAATCCGCTGGTTGGATGCTTCGAGCTGCTCCCATGCACTGGAGCTGACACAGATCTTAAACACTTCAGGAAGACACCGACCTGTAATCTCTTAGTACTTGCTTCCCAGCCTCCAAATTTGAAACTGCCGCAAAAAGCAACAATCTATGCATTTTGTCCATGAGGCGAAGGCTTTCTCAAGATAGGTGCTACTGCTTATATATACCTTTCACCTGGATTCACCTGGAGATTATCGGTATTCTTCAAGGCATATCGTTTGTAACAATTTTAAAACATATTAGAAGTTCTTTGGTTCAATGTCCCCACAAATATGCTTCCACAGAAGAGTGTAAAATCAACATATAGATACAAGTTTAAAAATGTGGAATCTACATATAAATACAAGCATAAAAGTAAAAAAATCCACATGCAGAATTAAAATTAAGGTTTGAACCATTGGGAAGGGAGAGCAATGCCTCCGCTGCCTTAATGTGTATCAAGCAAGGGAACCCAGTCTGTCTCAGAGTATGCCATAGAATACCGCACCCTGGCTTCTGAGGTAGACTGGACCAATAATGGATTAATCACAGCATTCTCAGAGGGATTATCCAAAGCTATCCTTGATGAGATTGCAGCTAAAGAGCTACCTGGCAGACTAAATGAATACATCACTTACGTGATGCTTATAGATAATCGACTTAGGATCAGGGAGATAACTAGACATAGAACCAGATGTATGAATGTGTCATTGGCGCCTCGCTTTTCTAGTCCTGTTGTTTCTGGCCTCCTGTGCAGTCTGAAAGTGAACCTATGCAGTTAGGGGTTATGAGATTGTCAGAGACAGAAAGACAGTTTAGGAGAAAAGAGGGCCTTTGCTTACACTGTGGAAAAAAAGGACATATGAGAAATGCTTGTCCTATACATCCGGAAAACTTGCGCACCTAAGAACCATAAGGGGACCGGTCTTAGGAGTGATGGATATGTCCCTTGGTTCTACCCAAAGTAGATTTTTCCTTAATATTACTGCTCTATGCAACAAGTAAAGTTTTTCATGCAAAGCCCTGATGGACTCAGGTGCTGCAGGAAACTTTATCGACATGCAATTTGTCAGTAAACATCTCCTACCCATCAAGGAGAGATCATCACCCTTGGCAGTCGAGGCGATTGATGGGAGACCTCTCTGTGAACCACTGATTACCCACAAGACTATGCCTATTACTGTTAGTATAGGAGCATTACATAAAGAAATCATTACGTTTCAGATAATTACCTCCCCTTCTTGTCCCATTATACTAGGATTCCCATGGTTTGTTAAGCATAATTCTTATATTGACTGGGCTAACCCTTGTGGGTTCTTTTCTAGAAAGTGGTCACCAGCGGAGCGTAACTATAATATTGGTAACAGAATTGTTGGCCATTATACTAGCTCTAAAAGAATGGTGACATCTTTTGGAAGGTTCCAAGGATCCCCCCCTCTCCCCCGATCATAACTAATCACAAAAACCTGGCATACATTGGAGATGCTAAAAGGCTGTCTGCTAGGCAAGCTAGATGGTCATTGTTCTTGTCACGCTTTAACTTTATCATCACGTACAGACCAAGTCCTAAGAGCATTAAGGCTGCTCTATCAAGGCTGGAATGGGGTACAGCATGTAGTGAGAGATGTATGTTGCCCATTACTAAAAGAGTGGGCATTGTTGCTCTACCTGCTCCTATGCCTCAGCCTACTGAAATTCCTGTGCAGGTTAAAGAAGTGTTTAGTAAGTCACACTGATATGCTACCTCCTCACAGATCTTATGATGCCTCCATAGATTTGTTACCCCTAGGGGGGCAATATAGGCCTTATCACCACAGAAAAGTAGGATTATGGAGGATTATATTAAAGAGTCTCTGCAAAAAGATCACATACGTAAATCTCCTTTACCTGCAGATGCTGGGTTCTTTTTTGTATCCAACAAAGATGGAGAGTTACGACCATGTATTGCTTATAGGGCATTGAACAAGATCACCATCAAAAATGCTTATCCCATTCCCCTTGTCTCAGAATTGTTTGACAGACTCCAGGGTGCTAAGGTGTTTACCAAACTCGACCTTAGGAGTGCTTACAATTTGGTAAGGATTAAGGAGGGTCATGAATGGAGAACTGCATTTAACACGAGATGTGGTCACTATGAGTATCTTGTCATGCCCTTTGGCTTATGCAATGCTCTGGCCATATTTCAGGATTTCATTAATGATGTTCTCAGAGACTACATTTATACTTTTGTATTAGTATATCTGGATGATATTCTCATTTATCTCCAGACTCATCATAGGCATGTGAAGCAATTATTGCAAAGTTTGCTTAAAAATGGGCAATATTGCAAATTTCAGAAATGCATAATTGATCAGACGGAGGTATAGTTCTTGGGATATAATATTTCGGCCTCTGGTTTTCAGATGGACCCTCACAAACTAAAAGCCGTTCTACACTGGCCATTACCTAATGGGTTAAAAGTCATTCAAAGGTTTATTGGGTTTGCAAATTACTATAGGAGATTCATCAAAGGTTTCTCTACTCTGATAGCCCCCATCAGCAATATGACACGTAAGAGGGCTAACTATACTATATGGTCTAAAGAAGCTAGAGAAGCTTTTGAGCTTCTTAAGAAATGATTTGCCTCTGTTGACATATTAGTACATCCTGACACTAGCAAACCCTTCATACTGGAGGTAGACGCCTCTGAGACAGGGGTAGGAGCTGTTCTTTCTCAAGGGAGAGTCAGGATACCCCTTTGCATCCTTGTGGGTTCTTTTCTAGAAAGTGGTCATCAGCGGAGCATAACTATAATATTGGTAACAGAATTGTTGGCCATTATACTAGCTCTAAAAGAATGGTGACATATTTTGGAAGGTTCCAAGGATCCCCCTCCTCCGATCATAACTAATCACAACTAACCTGGCATACATTGGAGATGCTAAAAGGCTGTCTTCTAGGCAAGCTAGATGGTCATTGTTCTTGTCACGCTTTAACTTTATCATCGCGTACAGACCAAGTCCTAAGAGCATTAAGGCTGATGCTCTATCAAGGCAATTTGACATAGAGTCAGATCAAGAACAAGAGACCTCCCCTATCGTTCCACCTGAGTGTATCATTGCCTCTACTGTCCTTTCCTTGTCTTGTCCTCTTCTTTGTGCTATCATGGCGGCTCAGTCTCAGGCACCTAGTGATAAACCTCAAGATAGATTGTTTATTATATTGCTAGAAAGAGAGGAGGTTCCACAATAATGTGACAGCTGGACATCCGGGTATTAATAAAACTGTATCCGCTCTCTCCAGATCATTTTGGTGGCCATGATCATGTGGAGCCTTTTACTGTTTGTGCGGTTTCTAAGGTTCCCCATAAACTACCTTGTGGGTTATTACAACCACTTCCTATACCCAGTGTTCCATGGTCTCATTTGTCTATGGACTTCATTGTGGAACTCCCGATTTCTAATGGCTATACCACCATCCTAATGGTGGTTGATCGATTTTCAAAAATGGCACACTTTGTTACACTCAAAAAGTTACCTTCTCAAGATCTGGTTCATATATTTATACACAAAATTGTCAGATTACATGGTATTCTGCAAAATATTGTGTCAGACAGGGGTTCCCAATTTGTGTCACGATTTTGGAGAGCATTTAACAAACAGTTGGGTATAGAATTGTCATTTTCATCTTGGTACCATCCTCAAACTAATGGTGCGGCTGAGAGGGCCAACCAATCGTTGGAACTACATTTGCAATGTTTTATTAATGGCACTCAGGAAAACTGGCCTGACTTGCTTCCTTTCGAATTTGCCAGGAATAATGCTACCCATGACTCATCTGAACATTTTTTGTCAACAACAGTCGTCATCCTACTGTTCTTCCTGCGGTGTTCTACGAAACTGCTATTCCTGCTCTGGATGAACATCTCTCATGTATACATGAGACTTGGACTAAGGTCCACACGGGTCTTGAAACTGCTGCAGTTCGTTTCAAATTTCATGTTGATAAGCGGCATGGTGCCAACCCTGTTTACCAGGTGGGTGATCGGGTATGGCTCTCCTCGCGAAATATCAGACTCAAGGTTCCTAGCATGAAGTTTGCACCCAGGTTTATTGGAGAATCAATTATGTTTCATATTCTCTTGCACTTCCTGCCTCGTTGCGTATACCTAATTCATTTCATGTATCTTTGCTTGAGCCTCTTATTTGCAATAGGTATACTGTCACTTTTGTCCCTCCTCCTCCTTTGGTTATTGCTGGATGGGAGGAGTACGAATTCTCCTCCATAACTGATTCCAGATTGTCTTGTGGTTCTTTGCAGTACTTGGTTGATTAGAAAGGTTATGGGCCTGCCGATCGTTCTAGGGTTCCTGCTTCTGATATACATGCTAACCACAAAATCTGTTCTTTCCATGCCAAATTTCCTATCAAACCTGGTTCTGCCCGCCCGGTGGACGGTCTTCAAGTTGGGGGTAATGTCACATATCCTTTGTATCCATGTGGCAAAAATTTTAGATAATTAGTTTCTGAAGATCGAGATAGAATACGGCCAATCGGATCTGCAAGAGGGTTATTTAAACTCACTTATTCCTTAGCTCATTGCCCTGTTGTGGTTTCCCTTAGATGGTTATCAGAGAGTGTGTTCCTGATCGTGTTTTTCTATTTTTTGACTTTGGCTTTGTTTTGACTTCCCTGATTTCTGGTACCCTTGACTTTTGGCTTTTCCTTATCGCAGTGTCTCGTTCTGTGTCCCTGACATCGGCTATTTTTCTGACTATTCTTGGGTATGTTAAGTCCAGCCATTCTAAGGTCTGGTAAGACATTACCCTTAGTTCTAGGGCAGGCATAGGCAGCCTTGGGCACTTCAGATGTTTTGGACTACACCTCCCATGCTGCTTTGTCAGGATTATGGGTGTAAGAGCATTATGGGGGATGTAGTCCACAAAATCTGGAGTGCTGAAGGTTGCCTATCCTTGTTCTAGGGTGTGATACTATTCTGCGTGCTGGATCAATATAATCCTGACAGTCGGCTCCAGTGTACGGGAGCAGCTCGAAGCATCCAACCAGCGGAGTGGTAACCCTGATATAACTCTCAGACTGTACTGCACCATATGCCTATTTGTGGTTCTTAGCAATAAGTAACACCACTATTTTGTGTGGCTATTTAGTTTCCCTTGAACTGGAGACAAGAACTACAAATTAACGATACAGAACTGTTTGTCATTCTACACCATACCCCCTGCAATTTTTGGTATATATCCTTTTTCACTATTTCTACAGACTCTGGGACTCTCACTATTCAGTAAGTTGACTAGTTATGCTTTTTTCTCCATAATCTTTTTTTTTTTTTTTTTTATTCTTTATTTTTGCAGTGCAGGATTATATGTACAATCTCAAGTAAACATTGTAAAGTATAAAGCAAGATAAAGCAATGGTGTAACATACAATATCAAGAAGAAGTGCACTGTTTTTTTTATAGTTATACATGACATGGTGGGTCAGTATGCGTCAAAAGATTTTCCAGATGAGCTAATGACAATGTAGTTGAGTCTAGAGACCACATTATAAACAATTAAAGATACGTTGTCCCCCAGAAGTATTAATCCTAAGATTTAGTCAGGCTGGTGGGGTGTAAAGGTTAAGTAAAACATGAAGTATGCATGCTGAGTAGGTAGAGTTATAGCTACATGATAGTTGCATTAGCAGGAGTTGTGGTTACACGCACATAGTTAGTTGACTATGCTGGCTAAAATGTAGGCGTGCTTGTGTCTTAACGTACCATAAAGTAACATCGCTTTAAAGACTAGTGAAAGTGACTATCATAGGGTCAGTAGCTTACTAATATGAAATAGGTGCTATATATTGGCAGAGGGCCAGGTGTGGGAACCCCTGGGCGCATTCTGTCAGCGCGGCATCAGGTATGGAAGTGTAACTTGGACAAGGTTGATATAGGCTAACGGCCATCATTATTAACTTAATACTCTGTCTCTGCGTTGGCAGTTATATTTACATGGTGTAGGCAGTCCATATGTCGGCGGCTGTTGCCGGCTGTGATTGTGCCTTCCAGATGCACATGTGGTATGTTCACCCAAGAGGCACAGAGGCAGGTCCCTCAGCCAATGCCCAGTGCATGGACGCGTCTCCTGTAGTTAGCGTTGGTCTCCCCGATGTTGTCCCAGCCCTGGGGTTCCGCTCCAGCAGTATTCAGCAGGGTGTTCACCTGTGCAGCTCTCCGGTTTGCAGCTGTGATGTGGAGGGATGGGTGCAAGCCTCGCTGGATGTCGGCTCTCTGAGCTGGTGAGTAGCTTGTGTGGGAAACCGGCTTAGCAGTCTTGTTCTCTCGAGTGTGGGGGCCATTATGTTCGCCCGTGCAGTGTGGTGTTGTTTCCCGCCCTTGGGTTCGACAATGTTTGCGGGGTCTGGTTGCCTTTCTGGGTGCTTGTAGTGGTAGCCTGTAATGGCGCCGCCTGGTTACTGGACGGATCCATGTGGCCACTAGTTTCACTGCCAGACAGGAAGCCATTCCGCGATCGCTCAGCATTGACCAGAGGCTCGCACAGAGTCGGTCGAAGTCCCCCAGGGGGTACATGGTTGGTTGGGTTTGTGTGCTTTGTTGTTGGGGCCTTCGCTGGGCAGCCATCTTAGCTGCTCCCCAGTGACCCGATGATGGCTGGTGCTGCGCTGGCTCAGTGGGCAGTCACCTATGTATTTTGGTTGTGACGTCTCAGGCTTTAGGTGCCGGGATATCCCTCTCCGGCGGGGGGGGAGGGAGTATGCCGGGGGGACCTCCAGGTGAGTGGCTGCAGTCCTTCACTTTGTCTGAGTAGGCCTCAGGTCTATCCCCGGGTAGGAGCCTCCGATTTCAGTCGGGATGCTTGGCTCTAGGCTCTACAATGTTAGGTCTCCCTACTCCAGGTCGCCCAACTGTCGATTTGGTAAGTTTTTGCCCTGATTTTGGCTATTTGAAAGCGTGTTTGCACGGAGCTCTTCTCCAGTGCGTCCGCTCGGCATGGCCGCTTAGCTCCGCCCCCCTCCATAATCTTTTTAAGGGGAAGATTGCCTAAGCGCTGATACTATTTATTTTACTATTTGTTGTCTTTTGGAACTTGGGAAGGTTGGAATATTTTATACTGTTTGTACGCTCTCTTATAGTGTATACTTAAGTAATATAAAATAAATGTATTCCGTAATATGTCAATACACCACACCTAATCATTGTCACAATAAAAATTTAGAAATAAATGCCTGCTCATTCTATAAAACCTAGTACAGCTAGGTATTCAAAAACTTTAATATAAAAAGAATAAAAAGCTAAATCACAACTACAAAATTAATGTCCAAAGTTAAATTTAAACCATATATTTAAAAAGAATCTGAATCTGACAATCTATTATAATTTCTCGTAATGTGGCTTTATTGGACAAGCACAATGTTGCTTTTACCTCTTTTTAGTTTGTATAGTTAAGGTTTTGACTTATGAGGCCTTTTACTACTTTTGTTCTGTGTTCACTCCTTCATAGTTTATCGCTTTTGCATGAGTTCTGATTCATCCACACTCTGAATCAGTAAATCTGTTGAGGCACAGCATGGTGCACCGATTAAAAGGGAAATGCCCAGCAGTTTCAATGAGAGAATAATGTAATGCCCCTGCATACTGCACCAAAGCATATAGGAAGGAAAAGTATACTTTGTATACTCCACAACATTACCAGTGGGTGTGATAAAAGGAAGCAGGCCAGTAGTGCTGGTAGTGTCACTGTACTTCCCAAAGGGGGCAGACCCGCCCAGAAAGGGGATATGTCTGCCTGAAGAATGGCAGGCCAATGCTTGCCAGACTGCATACCCAGAGTGGCCCACCGAGGGTGAGCACAGTTTAAGAACACACCTCATGGTCCAGGTGCCCTCAGTGTAGCGCAAGTGCCTCTAATGATGTGCTCATGGTATGCTTTTTGAAAACCAAAGTTGAGATGATGGAACAGGATACTAAAATACAGATTGTCCTTCTGAAATTGGGACTGTTTGGAGGCCTGACTTTAACTTTATCTACCATAGCCCAAATCTTTCAACACTTTTCTATTAAAAAAAACAAACAAAAAAACATGTTGGCACTTAATTAGGATGTGCCTACACTGCCCAGGCACAAATGCATAACTCAAGCACATGACACGGATAGGTTGAGCACTCATAGGTATAGTTGCAACCAAATCAATATTTGACCAGAATGCAAGTGGCATTTTGATTGATGTAAAAATTTAATGATGACTAAACAATAACAATGACTACATTTTCTTACAAAAAAACACTTATAGGCTACTTTGATTTATGGAAAGTGTTGCAACTTTTTTAGGTACACTTATGCCTCGTTTCCACTGAGTGGATCAGTTCGGGTCGGTTCGGTACGGTGCGCTATTTTGAGTGTTTCCATTATGAAAGTGGCCCATACAACCAAACCATACCGCACCATTCAGGGTCCTGCTTCAGATGTAGGGCCATAGGAAATGGTACGGTGCGGTTTAGGCCGGAGCTACTATACAATCCATTGATTGGATGACATGCTAGGCATTTTTTCTAAACCCTGCATGGCCCCTGAAGGTCTGACTTGCAGTGGAAACACTCACCTGAATAGGCTGGACCATTCTAAACCTTCCAAACTGTACCGACCCGAACCGATCTGCTCAGTGGAAACGAGGCATAAATGTACATTTAAACAAATATATTATTTAACTAGGCATATTGCAATTCTTTTTTGCACACTCAGAAACTGGCTATAAGCCTTTTCTTTAAATTACAGGATTTTTTACACCTCTCAGTGCAATTACTTTTTGTTTACACTGTAGGACAGTCACTAGGTTTTATGTACACCCCTGCAGCATTACTACATTTTATTTACATGCACAACTTCTTCTCTAAGGCACCTAGACCCAGCAACGATCCTCTGCTCTAAGCAGAGACCTTGAAAATGAGTCTAATAATAGGGTTCTGTTTGCAAATCTTGAGGCTACAGAATAATTGGTTATAAAACTGTGGCAAAGAGGAAAATCTTCCTCTCTTTATCTCACCACTAATTAGGCAGCTCGTTAGTATCACAGCTTTTCTCCTACAGCCCAGTATATCTTATATCCTATGGGACACTGAGCAATGTCTTTTAAGATTCTCCTTAGTGGATATACATACTGCAGAGCACAGCAGGATAAAGCCAAAGAATCCTAAATCACAAAATATATTTCCTCCCCCCACCACCGCCTGCCCCACCACCATGAGGTGAAATAAAGACCCTGCTGCTCCCCTGAACTATTTTCTTGTACTTCTGAAGAATAAATGTTGGTCAGATTCTTTGAAAAAAATGTTCTCATGACTGTATGACTTAACATTGCTGTTTCCATTAGGAAATAAGTGAATTAATGAAGATTTCATGACTTTCAGGTTAGGTTCTATGTATACGAACTATTCTCCTGTTCAGCCACTTCAAGACCTACTAATGGTAATGTTATGATTAATGGGAATATTTTCACTAATTCATGACTATTATTATACTTCATCATTTCGGCACCCGTTGACACACCTTTAAAGATGAAAAAATGAAAACATACTATTTGACATTTTGCATATTTTATATGCTTATTAATTTAATCATTAAATATGCATTCCTAATTGTGTGGAACTGTAATAGTTTTGTTAAAAATGATCACTTGCTAGTCTGTTTACAGATGCCAGCGTAGCCTGATATGATATAATGAGAACTCATTTAAGTTTATTGGAGATTGTGTCTTTGCAGTGTGGAATATATTGGAAATGTCCTGGGTCCACAAAACATTGCATTGTTGCAATAGGATACAATATTACAAAAATGCAATATACAAACTATAAATATATATACACATACACACAAATATAAATATATTCAACCATGACAGGTGCATTCTGTGCTGAGGTATATTGACATAGATCTCTTAAAAGATTTTAGATTGAATGAAGATTTGACTGTGTCAGTGAGGTTATTCCATAATTGCAGTGCTCTGTAAGAAATGGAGGATCAAGCCACTGTATTTTTGTATTGCGGTATGCTAAATATCGTGCTAGTACTGGATCGAAGGTTATAGGAGGTGGGAACAGCCGGGGAGAGCATTCTTCTCAGGTAGGGTGGGAGGGTTTTCCAGAAATGCTCTTATGCACAAGGCTGGAAAGATGAAGAGTGCATCGGGATTCCAGCTGCAGTCAGTTTAGCTCTTTTAACATGTCAAAGTGGTGGGCAAAGTAATTACATTCTAGTACATAGTGGCATAACAAATTATATAACGTATTGAGTTTATTAAGGTGGGTTTGCGGTGCAGGTGCATACACTACATCCCCATAATTAATGACCGGCATTAGCATTTGTTGCACTATCTGTTGAACGTAATGGAGTTATGTCTTTCTTCATACTCACAAAGTAAATTTTTAGCTACAAAAGGTCATAGACGTGGCGAGCTAAGCAAATATACAAAATAAGGTTTTGGTAAAATAGCTTGGTTGGCCTATAGTCCAGAAGCAGTTGTTCTATGATTTGAGGATCTGTTAATGGTGAGCAAACACCTTTAAAAACATGATTACCTGAGAAGGCGTATAGTGCAGCAGGCCATGTAGGAGCATGCACCATTATGAGTCAAACACAACACCTGCAAAGTTAATGGTACACTATAGCGCTAAGAATACAAATTCCTTATGCTTTAGTTAAATATATCTAGACTGGTGTGTGTGTGTCCACCATGTGAGTGTTGGAATGGTGCGTTTTACTTACCTTTCAGCCATGCCACGCCAATCTCCATAAGGAAGCTTTCTTGGCTGGGGAATGCTTAGGAATGCATTGGAATGCTAATGAGCATGCGCATCAAAAAGCCGTGCTCTATGAGACCATCTGATTCAAAGACCGGAGTTTCACTTAGCTACTTCAGTGAAAGCACCTCTACTATCTGTCAGAGTAGCAGTCACTAGAGGCATTTTAACAATGCAAAGTTTTCATTTGCAGGATTAAAACTACGAGAACATGTCACCCAGGCCACTTTCTTGAGATGACGTGGTCTGGGAGTATAGTGTCCCTTTATAGAAATGAGTAATAATAATAAAGTCTGGAACCAACTTCAGGAAGCAGGGTTATCCTAATCATCAGAGCAAGAAGAGTCAAAGCATTCTGAGATCTGGGTCATACATTAGGTCAAGTGGCAAAGTTTGAGTAACAGGCAATAGGCAGTTAACTATCAGATGCATGCGTTGAAAGGGTAGAAATAAGGACCCATAATCTAAGAAGGCTTTCAGCAGTCATGTCATTGGACACATAGACACCAGACTGTCCAGATTCATGGTTGGGCCTGGGCTGATAAACCATTCTGATGCGCAAAGTGATACAATTAGTGATGAGCAGAATTGTATGCATTGTAAGCAATAAACAGCAAACAGCAAAAACAAGAATAAAATAAG